AACCTTAATATCATAAACAATGTTATTTAATTAAGTAACACAGGTAAAAATATCAAAAGTGAAATGAGTTTTCTGTTTATGTTCTGTTAAAGAGGAAATTCTGCTCTCCTGCGATTGTATTTTTCCTATCTTTTCTGTTACCATTTCAGGAAACTTATTGAAGATGTGTACAGTTTTTTGGCCTGCTAGAAGAAGACGAAGTTTTATGCGTCATTTTTATTTGAAGGTGTGCTACTGCTTTCTAATGTTTAGCTATAAGAATGCTTTTTAAATTAAATGAAGTGAAGTTACTGCGCAGACAGTGGTTCTCATTTTTCAGAATAAGTCAGTCGACGATCACGCAATTTGGGGGCAATGCTTTTCAGGAGTAAGTATTTTATACTCTTTACACTCTTACGATATGTTATGCCTTGAATGGCTTTAATGTTTGTAAAGTGATTTTTTAAGAATCTTTGAGTGGTTTTTCTTCTTTTTCATCATATACATTTGCAGTTCTACGAAAATTGGGATCGTCAGGCGTGCAGCGAGTTTTTTGATTCCGTTATACGTTTCACCGATTCAGCGCGATTGCTTACTGTCGTAATGTCTGGTAAAGTTGGCAAACACTACAAACTTGAAATGGAAGTAAATTATGCTTCTTACTTCCTTTTTTAGCATTTTACTGACACCATTCATGATGAATTTACCCAGTCGTAGTGAAAGAACATTTCCAAATCTATATAAATTCTTGCATAATTCTCGCATTATGTTGTTCACTTATATCTTGATAACAAATACGAAATATTTCGAGGTACGACAGCGCTTTCATGGTTTATTTATTGATCAGCTGGCAGAGTCGGAATCAGAGCAGGGATTTTGGCTTTCCGTGCTTTTACGCACTCAGAAAAGTGTTGCAGAACAAGGACGCTTGTTCATGCTCTTATTCGGCCCTGTAAAATATATTCATGGCGAGGGTTTGTTATAGACTACATTCAAATTGAGTTTGCTAAATAATAAAAAACGAAAGTAATTGGTTTCTGCAGGAAATTTTTATAAAATTGTTTATTCGGTAAAATATTGAGATTAAGGAAAAAGTGGAAAAATTACGCATAACATCAGTGCACATTAAAAACTTGATTCTAAATATACTGTGGAACTTGGTATAATCAGTTCCAAATTTTATTGTTCAAAACTTAAATTCGACCCTATTGAAATAAATTCGTTTTGGAAGTAATATAAAGAATGTAGGAAGAGAAATTCATTTAGAACGAATTGACTGGTACATGCTGTCGGAGACAATTTTCACCAGAAATCAATGCATCCGAATTATCCAACCACTATCATCAAATCTTTGTTGTCTTGCGAAAACAACAGAACTGAAGTCGAAGTTTTCTTGGAGCGATTCCGAAATTTTCACTTTAATAGAAGAAATAACAAGTATGCTGGCTTTCTTGAGAGTGCTGAAAAGGCAAAGAATTTTTAAGAATCTGGTAGGGAATACAACTGAATGTATTTTTAGACAATAATGTTTTGAATGTGTTATCAACATTTTTTTAGGTGCACCACAAGTTTGGGTGTTTCATAATTTTGCAAGTTTACTTTTATTACAACCAGAATTAATTCGAATTGCTCTCTATTATCGAATACTTTATGGACACTGTAAAGAAGCTGCGCATATGTTACATGCTATGAAAACGGTACAAACTCAAAACATTTGGCTTCAGAAATTGACTAGGACCTACTTACGACTTATTTTTTTATTGTTTTATTAAGCATAACACAGTACTTTGTGTTTCGCTGTATGCCATTGAACACCAGCATTTACTTGTTTAAAGTTGTTCTTATTCATGAAGAATGAAATATCTAGTTCAGATGAAATACTTTTTCAGGTGTATTATGGATGGGGATATGGAATTGTGGAAAGTTTGCTGACACCTCTACTGGAAACATTTAAGTTGTTAACTGTAATGCAACGCCGACATTTCCTTGCTGAAATAGTTTTAACACAGTCACACTTACTCGATGGATATCTTCGACGCTTTCCATGTTACTGTTTCTTGATTTCTTTGCTTCCTGATATAGCTTTGACCTCTTTATAATTTTCTACTTTCCTTTAAAGTAGATCTTCATTACTTTTCTTTCCATCATCATGGATGCAAATGAATTTTCGAATGTTTTAGGACCTGAATTAAACTTATTTTAAAAAACTGAGTGAATTCTAGCATATCATATTGTTTATATGGTATTTACAAATGTGAATACCACAAATTTTAACTTTTTTCACTCTTTAGTTCTCAAAGGCTTTAAATTTATGAAATATTTATATTTAGTTGATCGACTGCAGTTTCTTGACGAATTGACAGCAAGCAGTGCTATTTTACCGCTTTTATCGATACTTGCCGCTGACATTTAATTAAGCTCGGTATGTAGGTCTTCGACAGAACGCTTTTTTCCTTTAATTTGGCTTGGTTCTACGTATAACCGAGCTTGATCGAATTACGTGATCTGCGCGATTTACCACAATTAATTTCATTCGTTTATTTCTAATTGTAAACAAATGTATTGTTCGAACGAAACATGACCTTTTCGAATTTTATTTGTTGAATTCTTTCGTTTTACGCATTAATAAAAGTTTATTGTTTTGCTGTTACGTTTATGCAGTTTATTAATTTTTTCAGCGGTGTGAATTTTGATGGATGTCTATTTCTTAACAATATTGCCAAGAAATTAATAACACTCATTCTTTATTTTATAAGCTGTTCTCCGTGTAATGAATCCTCTATACTATTCTACTAGATTTAAAAGAAATAATGTTTTCACGGCAGACACTACTATAATTTGTGCACTATATGTATAGTTGGTAACAGGACTTAATAATAAAATGTAATACCTGGGTAACAGGTATTACATTTTCTTTCTGTTTTTGTGGGTAACACGGACTAAGCAAGCGTGGAAGCTGCAAATTATTTTTCAGACTTCACTAGTCAAAGTTGACTGTCTCAAACTTTGGCGGATAAACATTAAATAGTTGAGTTTCCGTATACGATGAGCATATATAATAATCGACTAGTTAAAATTCTATGATTTTACCTGTTTCTTTTGCCTCTTGAATATTAATGTCGTTGACGGAATGAAATAACAAAATGTTTTGTCTTTTCGACATGTCCAAAAGTAATTTTCTGTTCAACAGTTTTTATTGAAAAAATGATCATTCTATGTTTCCCAACTACATAGAATGATATGTTAATGCTATATGTGTCACACGGAATCGACAAACCGTTCATTTAGCGGACTTTTTTACATTTCATCACGTACGAACATGAAATAGTGCAAACGATAATACCTTGTAATAAGCAGAAGCCAATGCTCGTGAGTTTATAATTTCGAATACCGATATTAAATTAGCAGTATTCTATGGTTTATTAATGCAATGTGTCACCAGTGATCAAGGCTAGGTCAATTGTGATTCTGTATGAGACATAGGCAGGTTTTTCAACCATTTGTGATCATTCCTTTGACTTGAATTCTCCGAAAGTATTATCGTACTGCCTAGTCGCAAGAAAAACGTGTGTTTGCAAATTAGATTTACTGAGGGTTTTTTTAAAAATACCAAAAAAAGATGTACACCTTTAAGCTGTTGAGATTTTGGCTTGAATAGCGCTTTCATTAACCATTGCATAGTTGCTAATTACTTTTATCCTTCTGCAGTACAAAATGTCTTATTGCTATGATTGCCTGATCTGATGTACTAGATGTAGTCGTTTTATATAAGATATATTTAGGTCAGTAGTAATAAAAACCTGTGTCTACTTATAAGTGATCAGAAAATTGAAAGAGACGAACTCAGTGACCAAAATACGATGAACATTATTAAGATTTCTCAACGTAAGTTATTCTGTTTGTTTGTCGAATTTGAACTTTTCTGCACAACCTGTCAGTTTTTTTCCACTAATTTTACATTAAGACATGATTGTGTACCAGCCTTCTGAGATCTTGAATTATAATGGACACTGTCAGCTGAGTCATCGAGTTTTGAATCATGAAGTCTCAACTAGGAAGACGATATAACGATATTTAATAAAATTTCTAACGAACAGACATTGTGCACTTAGCTTTAAAAACTTATTGTTTTACGCCGAATTTTTCTGTTTTATCAGTTAAGTAACGAAAACTTTGTAGGTTGTAAGAAGGTATAAAAGATACTTCTTAAAAAAGTGTGCTCTGGAAAATTTCATGGTAAAATACTACTTGATGTTGTTGTCGAACTCTATCAGAATGTATCGTAAGTGCAATGCTGAAGAGCTTGTGCTATTTCATTAATTCAAAGTGTTCCGTATAAACCAGCTATTTACTATCCCAAAGCGATTAGTTTGTCGTTATAGTAAAGTTGGGAATTTACTGATATCTACGTTGAAGATTTGAAAATACAGAATGTATTATTTCATCACAGAACCGTTTTGACCTGTCTGAACTGTTCATAGAGGACACAGCAGCAGTCTATCTTGAAAATAGATGTACTGGCGACTGACTTGTGAACGGAACACAAAATAAAGTTAGTACTGGGAAAGCAATACTTTCATCGACAACTGGAAATAACTTGCTTTTTAAGAATGAAAAACTCTTGCCAAATGCTACTAGCAGTATGTTTCATTATATCTCACAGACAACAAAAGAAGGAACATTCGTCATAAATTACTTAATTATTGGTTTATTTCTATGCATCTTGACCTTTTTATGCTATATCGAAGTATGACTGAGCATATTCCCATATTCCCAGCCATTAGACCATAAAAATATGATGCTCTTGTAGAAGATCTAAAAAATATCATGTCTGATTTTTGTTTACTCATCGAAAGACACTTTGCATTGACTAATCAGAAAGTTCTATCACTTCTGATAATTAAATATATGCAGTGAACCACCAGGTGTTTTGTATTATTTTGACCACCATGTAACTTTAAAGTTAAATCTCATAATCATACTTCCAATTGGATATTGCAAATGTTCGACAAAGTTAAAAATGAAAAGACTACTGAAGACAATGATGCAGAAATGATAACAAAGAATGTGATATCTGATTGAAATGCCATTTTATGTTCGGAAAACTTTAAAAAGAATCAGTGTTTTAAAATTTTAGTGAGATGATAATTCAGTTTTTATGTTGCATGCAATGCTTTGCAAAAATGTCATCAATAAACAAAAGGGATAAAATTTAAATATTTTTTCTTGACAAGTTAATTGGAATGCTATCTGACATGTTGCCAACTTTTTAATTCTATAGATGTTACTTTGCATTCAATGTCAAAGAAACCAGCAAAAACAGATCGGACTGCAGTAACTGCAAGCTATTGAAATGTCTGCTTATGAAATGAATTTTGCCGAAAAGTTGCATCCTGCTTATCTGTCGTATGCAGAATATAAATGACTTTGGATATGATATTCTGTCATGAAGTATTTTTGTTGTTGGTCTATTTGTACGTTTGTGTTAGTTTTAGGCAGACTATAAAACTCATTATTTAGTGTTAGTATTATCCCCCTCAAAATATATATATTGTCAAACAGCAGAAAATTTATAAAACAAAAATAAGCTTGGTGGATATAAAAGAAGTTCATTAAAAAATCTGAGTGTTAGAGTGAAATTCTCCAGAATTTGTTGTTTCACAGTTCATAATTCACCTTTCCCAAACCTTTTTCACATCATGACCGTTTATCTTATTTGAATGATATTGAAACTGGTTTCGGACAGGTGCTCGAATATCAGTTTCCAGATCTATCCGGAAAGTTTTGACAATTACAGCTGGATTCATACTAAATGTATCAACCTATGTGCGAAAAATTTGCGTGCTGTTACACATTTTAGCTATTTCAGGTTATTTTTTCCTAACATATATTTCAAAGTATTTGGAATGTTTGTGCTTCTGTAAGCAATCATCTATTTCCTTTTTTGCCTTGCATTCTTCTGTTTTCTGTCTTAAAAAAGCTTCTAGTGAAATAGAGACACAAACTCGAATTGTTCACTTTTTGTCAACTGATAGCTGATGTTACAAGTGGAAATTATTGGAAAGTTTAATATGCAAATGAACGAATTTATTTGAAATATTTTAATGCAGTTTAAGAATATCCCTTAATTCCTGTTTATTTTATGGTCTTTTTCTGGAAAGAATAAGTTTTGAGCATTTTGTGTTTCATTTCTGGATAAATGCTTCATAATGAGTGATAGTGCAAAAATTGTCTAATGCACGGAACCGCTCATATAGTGATTCATAATTCGTTTTTTTTTTTTTTGCGACATCAAATCTTATCTCACTTTACTGGATACTGCAGAGATACGACAAATATAGTAAGAACGCATTAACATATATTATGGTTAGACATTCTATATCAATTAAAATGAAGTTCTTTGACTGTCGCATGGCTAATTTTCCCAGAAGTCCTTTGTCTAACCGTCCCGCTACATAAATGCACGGTCCTGGGAATTTTGATAGTACTATACGACAGATCTTGCTTATAGAAGTTTTCTTAACGAAATTTTTATTTTTGAATAGCTTTTAATTCAGAATTTAACCCGGTTTTGTCCTGTCTAAATTTTTTTCAGTTTTTTTATTCTATCAATATCCCATTACATGGTTGCACATGTGGGTTGTCATTTAGCTTTATCTGCTGCTACTACTACTAGTAGTTCATATAAAAATACTGTGTGTTACCAAAAAACTGAATGCTAGTTGGTCCTAAGCGCTTCGCTTCTAAACTTCTGGATATTAATATTGAAAATAAATTAAATGATTAAATTGATTCTAATGATTTCCACTGGAAAGATTAAAAAATACGGAAAGTCGGATGTTTAACTTGATATTGCTTTATTACTCCAATGATTTCCGCTTATTTCTTTTTATGCTTGATTCGTGTTTCGTTGTAGTTTGCATATTCATTTGATAGAATTTGAATAATACTATGGCGCTCTCATTTGTAGCATAAAAGAAATCTTTCTGCTTTATCAAATAATCTTTCCTTAACTGCAGCAACAGTGAGCGTTAGACTCAGTCGTTGACAGAGGAATGTAAGCATTCTATCAAACATTTTCAGAAATTCGTTTGTGTTCCTTAGTTAAGCTTTTTAAGTTATTTTTTCAAGCAATTTTATAAAAATTTTAGAACTGATATAAAGAAGAAAACAGAGTTTCTATCGAGTGGAATAATGACGTCAGTGATCCATTTGTTTTTACCTAAAATTTAAGAATCAAATTCGACAATATAGTTGGAAGTTTAAAAACGGATGGTGTGAAAAATTGAATTTCAAAATCGTCTCCGTCGTGATTGTGCTACAATCACTGATTATGAATTTATCCATTTTTAATCGCCATAAACTTAAAATTCTCTTCACGTTTTGAAAAAAATTTTGTTCTTTAAATCTACGGCGATTAAAAATTGTTGGTTTTAAGTATTACAATAAAATTCAAAAAAAAGAAAAACCGATATTTTTGTTCTTTCATTTATCGAGATAGTTTTGTTCTTATTTACATTGGCTCCCAAATTCATTTAAAAGAAAAAGAAAGAAAAAAGAAACTATAAGAGAAGATCATACAATGGTTTTAGATCCTGAGATCAAAAATAGATAAATTCTAAAGATCTGAAGATTTACTACTATTCTTTTCAGTTCCGTAATGGGAGATACGGTAAGCAATATTTTTTAGTACCTTTTTTTTTTCAAATTGAAAACAGTTTGGGTAACAAGGGTATGTTATATGTCAAAAGAGTGATAAATGAAAGAAATCTGAAGATGAAACAGTTATGAGTAATCCGGGTTGACTATATACTGGTACTAAGCATACATGCCATCTATAGACAGTGGGAGATTTGGGTAACGTATCGATGTACGATATATCAATGTATGGCACAGATAAGAAGAATTTAACTAGAAAGGAACGTATGAAACGACGTGCCAGGAAAATGATCAAAGCTGGCCTCAAGGAGGATGAGTAAGTGATATACTGCTATTCATTCCAACGTACACAACCTGCAACAAAGATTTTGTTCTATCTGGAGTCAAAATTTCATGCTTCTTCCTCTTCCGTCTTGAAGCACTGATTATAGCAAAGAGAAGTAACGTTGAATCTCCCTTCATCATTTATCATTATCATCTTTACTGTCTTCCTGCAAACTTACCATCTAAGTTCTTAGGCAAAGTCGAATTTGCTTAAAAAAATTGCTTTCAGATGCTACTGTTGTTCGTTGGAAGGTTCACCGACAACAGCGTGCATAATCATCGCTGGAATAGTCTTCCTTATCATCTTTTGTTTGATAATGTTTGCAGTATTGAGTGCTGGTGTTGATTTCGAGGCAACATTTACGGAACCTGGCATGCAATTTTGAAGCGAGCAACAGATTTGCGGTGATTCAGACATACCCATCAATACACTTATATTTTGTTATGCTCCAAAAATTATTTTTTATCCTAAATATCTTCAGCCGTTGTGACTATAGTATCCCACATTTTTCACAATTTTTGTATTTTTGTTGACAATATTTTCTGGAACTATGATAAGATCTGAAGATTTGAAGGGTTCAAATCTCCTTCCAATTCCACATCTAGATCTCAAAGCATTCAAACTGTCCTCTTCTTTTTCTTCTAATCGTCTTCCTGCAGCTAGAAATTGATATCCTTAACAATATCACCCAGTATGTCGATCGATATCCATAGAGTATATTGATATCTATATAGTACTGACGAGATTTTGCCACAGTCTTTAATTAGTAATTTCATGTTTAGTAAATGTTTTCCTACATAACCCTCAACCTCCGCCTTCAATGTCTAGTAATTCAGTTATAACCGATTTGTCCCTCCATCACTTTTGCTAGCAATGATTTTCAGCTCACGTACCTCAAACAAACAACGTTGCCCTCTCATATTTGTTTCCGTTTCAACTACCTTAATTCGCTAACTCAGTAATATTCCGTTCTTAGAGAATATTACCGTAAACGTAGCTAATGTACTCTACCAGTGCAGAGATGCATACACAACTGGTTATCACAAATTCCTTGTTTTCCAATTAGGTTCATCCCGAATACCGAATAACTGGCACTTTACCGTACAAACACCGTGCAAACGATAGAGTTTTCACTTCATCACTTCTTTAGTTCGGAAAAGTGCGTTGTATTATATCATCCCTCCAAAGAATCAAGACTTCTTTTTTCCTGAAATGCTTATACCATTCTTTTCACTCCACTCTCCCTCTCACTAATTTATCCTGAAATAGTTTTGTATTGCCATCAGATACTTCACACTTTAGTACATCATTTTAAAAGATCTACCGTTTCTATCAATGAATGGGCATTGTTGCTTTTGATTTGCCTCATGAATTTAAATCAACCATATAAGGCAAACGATCAACCTTACATCACTCTCAAAGATCTTACATCTGAAGTTTCTTCATTACTATGCGGAAGGGTTTGCTATAAAAACCCAAATGCTCGGAAATGTTCAACATTCGAGTGCTTCTGCTGATTCAAATTACCGAACCTCCAATCAGTTTCCTTTGGGAGTTTTTCATTATTTTCATGAACTGAACGAGTATGATGAAGTTGCCCAACCTGTATTATATCGAAATGCCAAAATATAAGCATTTATAAGCACCCAAATATAAGCATTTCTGGAAATAAGTTCCTTTAAACACTCGTTCTTATTATTGTTAACATTACCTCCCCCATCCGATTGGTTAATCATTTCATATGAATTTTTCAGGTCTTCTACCAAGCTGAGTTTTATTGATAAGATGAAAGAGTTGGTCCGTGCTGCGCTGATGTGTTTTATCGATAGCTCAATTAGTTAACTAAAGAGTAGGTTGTAGAAGGATATGGTTACAGTGTAAATTAAAGATTACATGAACAACCGACCATAGTGAAAAGGCGAATAACCACTGGAACTATAGTCTCCCGAAGACATACTGGCTATGATGACCTTAGAGTCAGGCTGCGCATTCTATTGCGAGCTTGGCCATATCTTCTTGTTCACATTGGCTTTGTCATCCTAAGCATTATCGTATGTCCTTTGAGCAAATAACCTCCATGGTTCACAAGAAAGGCCTACCTCCCGATTTCTTGGAGTAACACAACAGGATAATCTTTGTTCTCTAAACTGACAGGAGAAGTGTATGCAACCCTAGGTACCTCCTTCATTCCTTTAGTCTTTTCATTCAGCGTAGTGTTATTAATCGTAGTTTTCATGTGATTTGTTTTTTGTTAAAGGGTTAAGAAAAGTTGTGCGGTAGGAAAGGGACGAAAGAGGCCCTCTGATACTTTTATCATCAGTCAACAGAGTTTCCTTAACCCGGATTTTTTAAATCTACAAGAGAAAAATGAATCGGGACATTGCAGTTCTTCCATTTCAGGAATACCGCCGTGGCGTGCTGTTGAAGTGATCCCTATCGAGAGAGTGCTTTATGGCAGCGGTAACCCACCATCACGATGCCCCGTATCACCAGGTAATCTTCCACTTTTTGCACTATCAGTTTATTGTTAAGTTTCTCTTCCAGGAAGTTGGTTTAATTTGGCTTTAGCTTTTTTCGATTCCTTTCTTTGGATTCCTTCTTTTTTGGTTTTCCTTATTACAGTTGGTAGAGGAGCAAAGAGCCTACTATTTTACTGGGATTACTGCCAAACTGGAACACCGTCGGAAACAGCTTCTAAGTCTTAAACGACTTCTGATTGAAGAGGGTGATATCCTTACCAAAGCTGTGTACAACGATCTTAAACGAGTAAGCCTATAAAATATGATATTTTCTTTACCAAGATTTCGTTTCTACCAAGAAGAAAAACAATTTCGTGCATTTTTTTTTTTAAATGCTTGAATTTTTCTCTGTGTTCGTTTGTTTATTTTTGGCTTTCTGTTAATCAAATCAAAGAGAGATCTGAGTCATAGATCACCATATAACAAAACTCTGAGATACTAATAATTATCACCGCATGAGGTAGAAAAATTGTTTTAAATTATATGCAGAACTTTCGAATACCGATTTCATGAACGTCATCGTGGCATTACTTATTATACAATCTGCCATCATCTCTTAAGGCTTTGAAATTCATATCTTCTATAATCTGAATTCATGCCAACTTTTCTAGTCACCGCAATTGACACACAGCTTGGAATTGAGTCTTGTTTTTGTCGAGATCGATTATATGGTGGATAATTTGAAACAGTGGAGTTCACCTGAACCAGTAAGTTATGAATTTCAAATACTTAGGATGACAAGGCATCTGGAGTGGCGGTAGCTAAATATTTGCGTAACTTCCTCCTTCATTATTTCAGCATTTTAAAGTGTTACAAAAATTTCCAGGTCAAGAAAACTTTTCTGTCACTTCTAGACACCGTAGCCATCGTCAAGGAACCGCTGGGTGTGGTCCTTATCATTGCTCCATGGAACTATCCGTTGTGTCTCGTTTTATTACCTCTAGTTGCAGCAGTTGCTGCCGGTTAGTTAATGAATAATTTTCGTGGATATTGATTGGGAGGTGGATTTTACTACAATTTGAATAGCGGTATTTTCTTTTCTTGGAAAAGCATTTTTGTATTATTTTATCTTTTCAGAGTGCTAAATCAGATATGGGCAGGTTTTCTAATCTGACTTCGTGTGATTTCTCATCGTATTTTTGTTTGCATACCAGCATCTTTCTTTTAATATGATCAATTTTTCAACAATCATAGCCATTATTTTTCTATTTATTTCCAGAAGTTCCAGGTAATACAGTGATAGTGAAACCATCCGAATATGCACCTTTTACTTCCGCAGCTCTACATGATCTTTTCTCACACTTTTTTGATTCGGTGAGCTTTTTAAATCTGAAAAGATCCGATGGGTCTTAAATTCTGAGAGATTGATGGATTGAATGGGATAAATAAGGGGCAATGATATGTATCAAGTATCAGTATCATAACGTCCTTCTTGAATTTTAAAATTCTATATTTGATTGCAAGAAAATTGCAGCGGTTTTTGGCGGTCGTTAATGGTGGCGTTGCTGAAACAACAGATCTCTTGAAGGAGAAGTTCGATCATATCTTATATACAGGAAATTCATCTGTTGCTAAGGTTATTATGACAGCGGCTGCGCGACATCTTACACCAGTCACACTTGAACTAGGCGGAAAAAGGTTAATTTTATATAAAGAAACTTCGATTACTAAATAGGAGATTCGAATGATTGTTAGATTCGAATGATTGCTTGCAGGGATGGTCGGAATTGTATTACTCAACTGATTTAAGTATTAAGTCTCTTCACTGTATTTTCCTCCGCTGCTTTCAGCTTTCTTAATTTTATGACGGAAGGTTTGTCTGCATAAATATTTTCTGTTAAAAGTGTCGGTTTATTAAACTTTCGAACGTTATTTACTAAATGGGAGGCAGGTAGGATGTGGTATTTCATGGATTTAGATTATAACTTCAAGAGTGCAAACAGCTTCGTTTGAAGAAATTGTTTTTTTGATCAGAAATAGACCTTTGCTTTAAGCTTCTGTTTCTTTTTTAATGAAATGTGTATTAATTCGCAAGAATAATCATTCAATCATCATTTGAGCGAGAAGATTACTGCATTAAAATTTAGGGAGAAAAAAGTAGACGCCATAGCAGGTTTTTTTTTTCCAAAAGCCGGCGGAATGTTGAATAATTTCGTCTTTTTTTTCTTTTTCTGCTATTGAAATGCTGTATTGCTTTTATTTTTAGCAGATCGCATTATTTTGACTTATAAAAAAAACATTCAATTTACATTCAATTGGTCCAAGTGTGGCCAGTTGAATGTAGATTTCTCACAAACTCTATTCTTGGACTCCAAACTGTGTTTTTGTCTTTTTTAGCCCAGTAATCGTGGAAAGTGATATAAATCTGGAAGTAAGCTCTCGACGTATTGTGTGGGGAAAGTGGACCAACTGTGGACAAACCTGTATTGCACCAGATTATGTTCTCGTTACGGAAACACTGAAAACAATACTAGTAAATGAATTCATCCAACGATTAAAAGAATTTTACAGTTCGGAGCCTGAAAAAAGCGACGATTACAGTCGAATCATCAATGAGAAGCATTTTGAGTGTGTTGTTGAAATAGTCCTTGCTTTGAGGTTTTACGAAATTTTCACGAAAAATTTTCTGAGTTTCGCTCTATATATTTCTGTTGTTTTATCGTTTGCCTATTATTTTTCAATGTTATTTTCAGTAGATTATCTAATTTGCTTGCTCGTAGCAGTGGACAAATTTTGTACAAAGGTGGCGAGCTCAATCGCAGTGACTTATTTATTCCTCCAATCATAATTGCTGTTTCTGCAGATGATGTGCTAATGGAGGATGAAGTAATCTTTTTCTAGTTCTGTTTCGTCTGTCATTAGGATAACTTTTTCATATTTCGTATTTTATCGCACATTTTTGATATCGGAGTGCATTTAGATATTTGGACCCATCCTGCCGATTGTTACTACCAGTGGTTTAGATGAAGCAATCAGCTTTATTCGATCAAAAGAAAAGCCTCTTGCTGTCTATCTTTTTACTAGGTCTGAAAAGAAAGTGCGGCAGCTCTATGCGGAAACGTCAAGTGGTTCTGTGGCAGTGAATGATGTTACATTTCAGTTTATCAGTAAGTTCTGCCTAATGCATACTTTGGGAAAAAAATCCTACGTGTTTTACTCGTCCTATTAAATTTATTCGAATCTTCATTTCTCTCCGAATTTTAATGTATTTATAGTTGATACGCTTCCATTTGGCGGTGTAGGCCAAAGCGGCATGGGCAGGTATCGTGGAAAATTTGGTTTCGACACATTCACTAACCATAAAGCACTGTTGATAAGGGGTTTCTTTGCTGATGCGTTGTTTGCGTAAGTTTTTGTATGCAAGTATTTTGAGAGTTATTTGTGTTATGCAAAGTTTTTTGTATGTGATAGGTCTTTTCTTACAGATCTATAGGAATTTTAGAATTAAAAAACCTTAGCTCAGTTCATTAGTGCTATAATTGCTGCTGCTTATTTTGCTGATAGTGTTTGTTGTAGTGAGTGTTAACAATCTCTTAATTACAGACATTATAAAGTGCAGTGTACCGTTAATTTTAGCATGCGATATCCACCATTTACCAGTAAAAAAATTCAAATACCTGAAACTGCTATTAGTAAATTTTTGAAAAAAATTTAGTTTTCAGGACAAAAAAATAAAATGAAGGAGATGATGAAGGATGATTCAAAGAGAAATATTTTTTAAATTTAAAAATTTTTCAAAAATTTTTTTCAAATTCATTTACGCTTAAATTATCGATAATCATATTTGTTAAGAAATTATCGGTAATCATATTTGTTAAGAAATTATCGATAATCATATTTGTTACGAAATTATCGATAATCATATTTGTTAAGATTATTTTGATTACTT